ATTTAAACCTAAATCAAAAAACTTAGCCAAATAACTGGGAAACTGGAAAACCATTAACCATATACTTGAGTAACCGTATAACTCCTGAACCGGACAACTGGCAACCGTACAACTATGCAACCGGGCAAACGAGGCATGGGTCGCTCATAAAAGTACTTGAAGATGTTTCTGTAAAATATTTACATTATCAACACCTAACACAACTATTATTAAACACAACATCAATTCAAACTTCAAAACATATATACACAATAAACTATCAAGCAGGATAACATAAATATATTTCTCATCTATAACAGTATTATCACAAACACGACAGTAAGATCTTTATCAATGAATATATGAGCAGTGAGTTAAGAAAGTATATTTTGGCAACTACTACTCACCAAGATGAGGTAGTAGCAAATATAGGGTAACGGCTGATAGAAGATTTGGAAATTTAATCACCACTGACATATGAAATAATGGTCTGCAAAAAGGGCAAAGAGAATGAGATGGAGAGCACTGATAACAGTGAGCGTTGCAAGATGGTATATTTCTATACCAGATTTCACAAATCTGGTATTTTCAGATGGTGTCTGGTGTGAATATTTTAGATCTGGTATATATGCCTAAATCTGGTATTTTTCTGGTATTTTCTGACTTACTGCAAATTTACTGTATTAAGTCCCACCTCTGAAGTTTGAACTTCCTCCAGCGTAGGCGTGGATTATATAGATTGCCTTCAGAGCGGCGCGACTAGAGCTTTCCCTCCATTTTTGGAACCACAAGTTCACCGCTTTATGAAATAACCCCAATCTAATTGTTAACATTTAACAAAAGTGCTTAGTGCAATATGAACACGAGAGTGATGATCCTTGATTGATTACTGATCAGTAATGATATGGCCTAGGACGAGTGAGGTTGTCGAACCGATCTCTGCGACGCAAGCTCCACCATTTTTGCTTGGTGGTTTGAATTATAGTGCCACTTGAATTCGGGGGTGCCATACAATATTTTACTGATCTTGAAAATCATCCATTCATAGAATTGGCTGCCTACTGCACCACGTGTCTACTTTGACCAGGTCTCCAATGCATTCGTGAAGTGAATGTTTTCACAAGTCACCTATGTGAAAAACAAGTAAGGAAATAAAATTTAAACTAAGGTACTGCAGTCCCTTATTCGGATCAAAAGCTATCTGCTCAGCCGTAACAAGTGATCAAACCCGAAATGTTAGATTAATGCAATATGCGAGCATTTATGAAAATGGAAGATGACCTGTAAGCATGTATGAAAATGGAAGATGACCTGTTTCCGTGGCTTGCTCATGTTGAGCGAAGAGGAAGAAGTGCCACACTGATAAATGCACAGTACATAAAATACTTTTTAGCGAATTTTCTCATTTATGAAAAAAATGCACTATTGTGCTCACCATGTCCGTCTGTCCGTCCGTGACCACGTTTCCGTCGACGAGAAAATGCGCTCTCTATCAGTCACTGCAGTGAGTTCTGAGATCTATATTTTTTTCTTTTTCTAACCAACGTTTCTGACGAATAGTTTCATTAAATTTGGAGGTATTAGTCAGTTTTCGAACAATAGAATTTCTGGTATTTTGAGCTAGGCAATCTGGTATTCTCGAAGAGAAAAAACCTGGCAACACTGGGGCCCGCCCGCTCAAGGACGCCCCAAGCTCGCCTAGTGGTGTAAATGGTTGTACGAGGGAAATAAGAACCTGATTAGGATCCGGCCTATTCCTTGATAACCGTGAGGTGACTGCGGGGCGCGCGTATATGGTACCTGATACGCTCGGGACAGACACGGCCGAATATGAAATATGCGTTAAAAAATACCTCTCCCTTCCCTCCTTTATGGGGGGAAGGGAGGAGGCATTTGAATCGTTGTACGCTATATATATATATATTAGTGTAGTTAGGCAGAAGTTCTTCATTTATATATATATATATATATATATAGTTATAGTTCCACTTTACCGGACTTTAATTAATTTTTTTTCTAAATTGCAAAAAATATATAAAAAAAACTTGACCTGGCTGGACCTAACCTCAGTAAAACGGTCTCTAGCAACCTAAAGAAGGGTTTTAGACACTTCAAACCCTAACTCTAACCCTAACCTAACGAGGTTGGCGTTTTTTTGGTGTCCGGTAATGTAGTTCATTTATTTTCGTGTCCGGTTTTTACACATAAATAAGTACTAGCGTCAATTACCGGACTCGATTTTTGTCCGGTTTTGTACCCGATGTCCGGTAATGTTACCAATTGTAATTAATTTTGTCCGGTAATTGTACGAACCATGTTAATATATATATATATATATATATATATGAGCAGACTAGACATGTATCATCTCGACACAATGAAGCAAGTGGCAAGTAAACTCGAGTTTGAAACTGGAATAATATATGTGTATAATATTTACGAAACGGGAATAAAGAATTTCCAGAAACAATCTGTTGAAAATTAACAATAATCAAAGAACAAATTAAAAATGATGCTCGACTGCAGTAACTAACCTAATGACATTACGGAACATTATACAGCACTAATGTAATTGAATCCGAGGAACACATTTACTTACAATGAGACCTTGAAGTCATTTAATGTAACGCTTAAATCGACGACACAGCCTGGCCTAACCAAGAAACTCAAATCGATTCTCTTAATTCAAAATCTTCTGTTCCACAAATTTATCTATTTGGAACGCTGGATTAAAAATTAGAACCTGAGGGATACGTGCGTAAGCCGACCAAACTAATTCCTTACTGATCAAACTGATGCAGAACATATTCCTTAAGCTGAAAACTTCTATTGTTGTCAAAAGACGAACTTGCATCGTACAATTGCTGTGTTCTCAAAGAATTGATGGTGAAACCATACAACTACATCATAAGAAATACTTGAAGGCAAAGCTAACAAATTTTCCTTCACAATTAAAATTTTACAGTCAAATGCGTCATAATTTAAGGAAGACAACACAATAGAAAATTGAGTGTTAATCTTAACAAAGTCAAGTTACCGCAGTAGCTTGATTGCAGTAAGCAGCCACCCAGTAACACTTCACATGAATCAACGATTTTTTTTTGCATTGGATGAGTTTAGCTCTAAATGAAATTCGTTTCAAGCTTTCAAATTATCAACTGCACTCTAAATTCCTGGACTGATAACTAAAATTATGTCGAAATATACGATAGTAATGTGAAATCAAATAAGTTGCTCACAAATGGGATCCTGTACACGTTCTCCCTGCCTCCTTGTACGCGATAGTTCATGCCGACACCACGGCTAGGGCAGCGAGAAAGTTCTTGTACCGCACTGGACTAGTCTTCAGAGGCACCCGAAATGTACGAACGTTCTTATGCAATCTTCGATAATTAAGCTGTCGACCCCAGGGATGCCTAGAAATTTCAACTTGAAGCATATCTGCAAGAGCTACTTCTATAGCCGCTCTAGCAGACATATGCTCAAAGGTGAACATTTTTTGTTGTTGGAGCCATAATTATTTTGTGGGCTTGAAGACAGTGATCTCCAGATAATTCGAAATCAAGGAAACACTTCCAAAAACACTCAAAATTATAATTTTCATCCTTATTTATTTCTACAAGTGCAATGGTCTTTACAATCAAATTGTTTAAATCTCTCTGAAGGAGACAAAACTATTAAACCTTTTTGATAAGCATTGATCACTCTTCACTGCGTGCTGCTTCTCTGTTAGTTTCAAACTGGCGCCTTGCTATTGCTGCAAGCCTGCAACGGCTAATGATCTGACTGGAGGGGGGTTGCGGATTTAGACCCCCGCATACCCCCGCATGGTGGAAACTTGTAAGCTGTAAGACTGAGAGCTCTTTTTGATGTGCACGTGAATCAAAGAAGCATTTAAACCTTTCCAGTTGGAGGTTGAGCGTTATTGCATGTGCAATTGTCGAGAAGAATATGGTTTGCGTATTGAAGCACATGCGGCGCACACATGTGTGAGGGCACGTAATGCAAATTCACCTTTGTTTCTTACACTCATCGAATTGATTAAATCTTTTAGTTAATAACTCCTGCAACATTAATTCTGGTGTTACTTCTTCCGGTGTATTAAGCGACCTCTAAGAATCTCTGCAAAAATTCACTGAAGTCAATAGATTGAATGAAAGAGAATTGATTTGCGTTATTTTTCTGTGTTATTCATTATATTCATGAAGTAGAAATAGTTATAGATTTCTTAATTTGCTCTAGTATCTGTAACAATTTATTCTTTACATTCGATGATGTGACTTATGTGCTCAGAAGTGGGTATAATATGCAGAAGTGTCAGGTTAAAAATAGACGTCTTGAACAGTAGGTGCATGGGTTTGTATCGTCATAGGCTAAATTCACCATGCTATATGTCAAGTTAGAGTCAACTCTCCTTTCGTTCCGTCGTATCACATATAGCAAACGTACGCGTGTACGTTCATCGACGCCATTTATAGAACGGGAGATGGTCATATACACGCTCTATACCTTGCCTTAGTTTCATGATCCACCACTTAGAAAGGCTCCGAAATTAAAGTCCTAATTTATCATTCGAAACACTGATACAAAAACAAACAGTTGATAATTTAATATTTTGTACATAACGCTTGATTGATAATTATAGTTTTTATCTATCATATATACTCACCCTTTCTGTAGTATCAGCGGTTTAATGCTTGGGGTCGCCGATGACTTTATTGATGTGTTTATTTATTGAATGGACCCAACACAATTGGCGCCGAGTGCGGCGTTAGTCTTAATCGTAATTGGGTTTATATTTTGAAAGTAACGTTCACGATACCGGGAGTTTTCGGAGCCCCGTCTCATGTGGTGGATCTAGAATGCACCAAGCAGCCATGTGCTGTCGGTATATTTGTCTTGCTTTTAGCCCGCACGATCTGATGTTTTGAAATGTCAAATTATCTCAAAGAAGACTCTTCTTTTCTAGTCTGGATGAATATTATTTCGTGAAAAAAAAAACAGGAAGTATCTCAGCCAATTTGTTGCATTGTTTATTTATTGAACTGATCTCAACAACGATACGCGCTATTACGAGGTTATCTGCAAAAAATTCGTTAAATTTGAATTACCTGCTTTCAAATCGTAATAATTGAATTTCAGCATTATGTCTGAAGAAAAGATGCGTAGCTCCGTGTTCATATTTTGTTACCTTTACATGTGGTCTCGAGATCACATGTTCAAATATTATGGTAGGTATTGGTATTCTCTGGTATTCGGTATGGCATTCTGTGAAAGTTTTTACCTTGAAAACTATGATTGTGCTATGAAAATGTGATTCATGCCACCAAGTTGTCATTCAACTGGCGATGCCATGCAGAGCGGGCGGCGTAACTCTTGGCAGTTAAGATCGTTGAACCGATGCCGATATTCTAAACCGAGCTCAAGACACCGCTCGACTGTTGAGTTGTCGGGGAGCAATTTTCCACCGCTACCCTAATCAAGAGAAAAAATATCTGTCAATTTGGTGGATATGATGATGCTCGAGAAATAATTTTTCATTATCCGTCATTTTTTTATAGAAGTAGGTGAAGGCAAAGCTTCCGTCTTATAAATCAGAACTGTCGTAATGTATACCGAAAATTCATGCAATAATTGTGAATTCGACCGTTATTAATTCACAAAAGAAAACAAAATTTTCTCAAATAAAAATGTAGCAAATGAAAAAATTTGTTTATGCACCATGGCACATGCTAACTCACGTCTTAATAATTTTATTATGGGGGTAAGGGAAAATCGATCTGTGAATAAATCGGAACCATACGCGCTACTATTGAATTTTTTATAAGAGTCCCCTCCATTTCAAAAGATTTGTCATCAGCCATCTTACCTGCCCCCACAACGGAACTCCCATAGGGATCGAGGAACCGTCGAGCCAAAACCAGTCCTCCGTGTCCCAGTCAACCACCCACGCCCACTCAGTACCGATCTATATATATGTACTGCAAATGTGGCCAAATTGTTTAATGTTACGTACAGCTTTAGAGAAAATAGTTAGAAAGTAGCAATGTAAGTACCCAAGAGGAATTATATTATCGAAAGTTAGCTTGCCCGCACTATGATCGTTTGCGAGCGTCCTCAATGTGGTTGGTTCCCATGCAAACGATGGTATGCAAACATTTTTCGAAGCTCTAATAACTCGTAATTAGCCATTTAAAATTCCAAATGACATATAATTAATTATTTAAGTATTCACCATGCTCATGTAGGTAGTTGGCCACAATGCTGAACTGCTCGCAGTCGTCGAATGTGACAGTCCCAGGTTTCAAGGTAGCCACCCACCCAGTACCGGTCTATGTACTGCAAATCTGGCCAAATTGTTTAATGTTACGCCCAGCTTACTGGAATATAGTTAGAAAGTGGCAATGCAGGTACCCAAGAGGAATTATATTATTCAAAGTTAGTTTGCGTGCATTAAGATCGTTTGCGAGCGTCATCAGTGTGGGGTAGTGGTTCCCATATGCAAACGATTTTACGCAAACTTTTTCGAATATCAAACAATTCCTAATTAGCTGTTTTTACTTCAAAATGATATATAATTGATTGTTTAGTTATTTACTATGCTCGAGGATGTAGTTAGCAACTATGCCGAACTGCACGCAGTTATCGAATGTAACCAGGTCGCCTCCATCCTCCTGGCAGATATTCCTCGAGATCTGCCAAGACTGTCGTGTTGCGGTATTAAAGCTCAGGCACTGACTGCCCACCGCCGTGTAGGGGAGGTTGCAATGGCCCTCTTTGGAGCATAAAACGCATGCTTGTTTAATGATTTGATTATTCATATCTTTTAAGTTTAAGCTTCTGCTTTCAAATGCTTATTATTTGTCAATGTTTTTATTTCATATCATACGCAAATTGTGTTCAAATTTCTATCATATGTCCATAGATTTTACGTCGTTCATTCTTGTTGATTCCTAAGCTTGATGACTGGATAAAGAAATGCTCAAATATTTATATGTTTTAAATGTTAAATATTTTTATATATGCCCCACCTACATTTGGTGGTCCTTCACAGATGTGATTAAAATCAAGTGAGCAACCATACGCCCTCATGTAGGGATTATCTCCATAGAAAATTACAGTGCAGTTGCCATTATAAGGCTCCCACGAGCCTCCGTCAGCCTGTTGACAGAAAAAAAGAAGATAAAATGTTACTGATTTATTCCGTAATCATGCTAGCAAATTTTGATGAAACTACTTGACATCGACCAAATCCGGATCAACGGTTAGCGACGATATTAATCATGCAAATACCCTTTCTAATCTATCGATCAAAGTGTAGCAGGCCAGGTCTAAACAGTCAATATACATACATCTATTTCAAAAACTGTCTGCAATAAATTATTTTGTGAACCAATGTTGAACTTAAATTATCATAAAATAATCGAATCGACTCACCGTTCCCCAGAAGGGTGCCCCCATGGCTATAACAGAACCGTCCCTCCACTGCCATTCATCTCGGGTCACTGAGTACGTTCCACCGATCCAGAAACTATCGTTCATCCCGCCTGCGTTGGGTAGGAAAATAAATTCTATCGGAATACAGTTCATATTTAGAATATTTAAAGCTAATGTTCATACTCCATATCGCGAGAAATTGTGATATGCAATGAAACCTTCACCTACAAAGAGCAAAACAAATATTATTTTGTACCTTTGGTTCAATAATTATTAATCTACATATATAATAAATTAAGGGGGGGGGTATACCCTAAAATTTTCGGATTTGGCTTTTCCGGTTTTTAGTCTCATAGCTGACATTCTGCCCTATCCAACGGTACCATTGCCATCTCTGTACGTTGATTTATGCTTTCACGACAGATCATGAAAGGGGGGCGGGTGGGGGAGTTCTTTAACAAATTAGGTAGATAGAAACTAATTCGCTGCCAGCACTATAAATACAGTTTTTTCTTGAGGTGCAGCTCAGTAACCCGCCTGGCGTTGTATGAGGAGGTGCGCATGTAGTCGCTCCCACCATCCTTGAGTGGAATCAAGCTCCAGAAACGTTTAGTTTCGTATCCTTTCTACATTGAGTGCCTATTGCGATGCGGGCGGGACTTTGTCGCGCTCTCCTGAACATTCACAGTTATTGTCACGGAAAATCTCCTCCTAGAGTTTTAAAGCTACAGCGATGAGACATATACCATTCGATTCGTAAAGACCCATACCTATCGAGTAACGAAGCCCTTTTTTTAGATTTGTGCATAGTTTGAATTCAAAATGGGGGAGGGGGGAAAATTTAAAGAAAATGGAAAAATGAGTATAAAATAACTAAGACACAAATCAAAAATCGGGCTTCGTTACACAATTGGTATGGTCTTTACGCATCGAATGATATGCGTCTCAATGTTTAGCTTGAAAACCCTAGGAGGAGATTTCTACAGTACCCCATTTTTTTGTCCGTTTTCTATGAATTTCACGTTTTCTATTAATTTTTCCGAAAAAATCATACGAACAAAATGTTCTTGTATTTTGGTTTTACATATATGTGTGAAATTTCAGAAAGATCCGTTAGTAAATGTGGAAGTTTTTCTGGAAGGGTATACCCCCTTAATACATGATTTAGTGCATGGTGGAAATATTTAATTTATCGTCGGAATTGATACTGACGAACCATAAAAAGGTTGCAATACGATTTTGAGATTCGCATGGTACCAATTGAAGATATTAAGGAGGTTAGTGTAAACCCTATTCACCAAACCTGTTATTCACCTGTTTCTTCAAGGTAGTGCACAGCGTCCGTGAAAATGTCGCAGCGGTCGAAGGTGGCGAGTTCCCCGTGTAATTCGCGACACAGAACCTGGGCATCGAGCGCGGGCAACCGCTCGGCAGGGGCGAGCACGCAGCCGCTTCCGAAGTCATCGTAATTCTCAGGGCAATTCAGTGCGTGCGCTGAAATTATCGATTTAAACTTGAACTCGTCGGATGGTTGAGGCCTTTAACAAGGCCTGTTCATCGCTCCAAAGTCGAAGCCAACCCAATTCAATGCAGGACCCTAATTCTGGCATTCTGGCTCATATAGTGATGGTAGGTCCCTCCAGTGATGGTCAAGTAAGTTTTTAAAAGAGTTCACAGATGTAGCCGAGACCACACTATCAGGCAGGTCGTTCCACGAGTCGACAATCCTGTGCGAAATGAAGTTTCCTCTCACGTTAAGCCGATATTTGCTCTTATAAGCTTCATGGAGTGACCCCTGAGTCGCGTTGTTGTACAGGTTAGTTCATATACATAAAAAATCCATTTAATCGATTGGTTTAGCTTGGATAATGAATTGAGTGCGCATAATTATATATTAACGATCAGATGATTGCCTGTAAAATGCATTGATAGATCAATTGAGTGTAGTAGCAGAAGAACGGTTTGCTAGCGCGTCAGTTATCAGGCTATTTCGCACCGGTGGTCAAACGATAACATCTTCGGTAAGGCGGAAGGTCTCAATCATTCAAAGTCTAAAATTTATCATAGCCCACAAAAGGCGGGAGGTCTCAAATATCCAACCCTCGGAAGCTGGCTCGAAAGAAGCAGCGTTAGCATCTCAAAGCGACGGAAGTGACAAGGAGAGACAGATGAAGAGCAACAGAAACGAAGACACTCGAACAAGTGGCCGCTTAAACGGGACGTCGGCCGCCCGCACGAGAGAGACAGAGAAGGGAAATGTAAGGAATCCTACCTACATAATAACTTAACCCCACAACTGAGGCTCGCAGTCAGACACCGCGAGCTCAGCGGTGGGGCGCTCAGGAACAATCCCCCTTGGGAGCGCGAAATCCCATGGGACTTCTGACGAGCACAGACACGCGTCAGAACTCAGAAGGCATTCCTGAGGGAATGATCATATAAGTGCATATTTTCAACATAAAAGGCTCGACTTATCATGTGCTTTCATGCTACTATTTTTACAACTAAGCGCTGTATGAATATTGACAAAATTTTACAAGTTACGATTGAGATTGCAAAAACATAGCTATGTTTTGTGCTCTAACTTTGTTTTTATCGATAAGATTATAAATTTTGCAAAGTAGAAAAAGTATTTCAAAACGAAATTTGAATTGAAACTGAAGCAAGTGCTGGTCCTAAGCCTTCTTACCAACGACCAGAAGCAGCGATGCCGTGGCAAGACGAGTTTGCCACATCGCGGTTCAGTGAGAATTATTGCCTGCGGAAGAAATTGCAGACCGTGTCATGTTGTTTAAATAATGTTCATTTATAACGCAATGAGATCGATCTCATTGACTACAGATATATGACACCAGGGTAAAATAAATGGGTACCCTAATTCAATGCTTCCAATAAACTTGCCGTATTTGTGAATTTGTTGTTAGAATTCCTTCTTTGAGAAGGAATTCTTTAAGGAATTAATTCTTTAAAATTTGGAGAATTCCTTCTTTAAGAAGGAATTCTCCAAATTTTTAGAACAATTTTTCAAAATTATTGAACATTATAAAACATTATCAACAGATATTTTACTCGTATAATAGTTCTCTTACCGTTTCATGGTAATGAGTACTTTTTAATGCTGACCACGATCGCATAAAAATACAAGCCAATGTAAAATGTAGATTTACCTGAAAATAATTATAGTGAAGAAGTCGATAATATCGGTGATGTAATGCAATAACTGCCGATTCTTGCACTTTGAAACTTGATTGTTGTGCGTTTCCAACCTGACCCTGGCATGCAGTGAGAGAGAAGCCACTGTAGCTACTTTAATGTTGGCCTACACAGATTGCAGTGATTCCCACACTTGTAATATCGCTTGGGAAGAACGTCTTTATATCACTGTATCTCGAATTCTATAATGCAAAGGTTTCAGTTCAGATACGTATAAGTATTCACAATATACCTACGAAGGTTATCCGGAAAGTAGTACCCGCTTGGGAATTGAACAAAAGGAAGTAAATATTAACAAAAGTAAACATGTTTATTGAAAATAACATGTATTACACTACTTCTCTACATAATATCCGGACAAATTTAAGCATTTGTCGTATCGTGTCACGAGTTTTTGTATACCAGTGTCATATTGCTCTGCCGCCAGTGTATCTGGGATCGGCAAGGTGTACTGCTCATCGATTCCATGACTCGTGGAGACACAATCAATGCCAATGCATATTGTGCAACATTAAAAAAAAATACGGCGGGCAATTCAAAATCGACGGCGAGGTCTGTTGTCTACTGGCGTCATTCTCCTGCACGATAATGTCAGGCCGCATACTGGTAGGATAACACAACAAATTCTCCAAAAAATTCAAGTGGGAAATTTTCGACTATCCAACCTGCTACAGTCTGGACTTGGCTGTTTCAGATTTTCATCTGTTTACGAAACTCAAGGACTTCGTGGCAAGACAAAGTTTCAAAATGACAAAGAACTGAAAGAACAAGTGACTGCGTTTCTCAATACACTGGCGGCGGAGTAATATATGGCACTGAGTCTGATATACAAAAACTCGTGACACAATACGACAAATGCTTAAATTTGTCCGGAGATTATGTAGAGAAGTAGTGTAATACATGTTCTTTTCAATAAACATGTTTACATTTGTTAATATTTACTTCCTTTTGTTCAATTCCCAAACAAGTACTACTTTCCGGATGCCCCTAGTATTTGCATGGTAACATATGGCTGTACAATAGCGTTGTGATCTTGTAGTCCTCTCCTGCCTATCTCTGAAACAAGAATGAATAAATCAATGATGTAGTATGCATAACCTAAAGAGCGGAAAGCTCTAAATCACACATGATAAATTCTTACGACCAAAGAATAATTACTGATCTGTTTAAATTGATGTTATTCCCTAACAATACTATGGTAAAGTCAGTGGAAACTACGCAGGCAAATTATCCTTATGAAAATAATATGCGCTCAGTGACGATAGGATTTGGGAAACGATTCCGTGAACTTCTATGTAGGGTGCATCAACGTTACATAGCTAAAAAAGCGCCACGACGATGAAAGTTCATTAGTTTTATCAAAAATCATATCTACAAGATCCTGNTTCCGTCATTGGCAACGAGGTTGCATTTTCTTTGATCCCTACCCAAAATTTCACGTGTGCATTCGCTGGCAAGATCTGAGACGACCGCTTGCTGCTCAAAACCTCAGTGTTATCGTTAATTTTTTTCATGAAATAAGCTTTAATTTCTACTACGTCGTTCCGTAATGAGCTTAATTTATTTCGCCAAACAAGCTCAACAATTTCATGTGAGCCTATTCCATTTCGGTTCAGAAGGCTGAGAACATGAAAGAGCCCTTCTCTTTCACCAGTTTTTCGCTTCTTACTGCGCTATAGAGGGTCCGCCATATTTATGGCAACGCATGTTTTACGTTACTTCTCAATGAAACAAACAGATGCATTTTTTATTGTATGAGCTAGTAGCCAAGAATTACCTTAACAATTCTCAGACATATTTATTCAATATTACCACCCTTATTTAAAATGACGGCCTCCATTCTACGCGTGAAAGCTTCACAGGAGACACGCAGCATTTCTTGAAGGATCAAATCCCATTCTCGTGTTGTAGCTGCGCTATACTTTTGTCTTTTGTTGACCAGGTTCCCGCTGTTAACGTTGGGAGATCGTTGCATTCACTCCGGGTCCTTTTTGATGACCGGCGGTTAGGTGCTCGCAGTAGCGTCCCGTGATTTTATTCGGGAAGAATTACCGTTTTCCGTCTCGTAATTCACATTACTTAATTTATTTCTTGTTGGCCTCACTCAGTGGCGGGTAAGCGTGTTAACTTGTACTCGTAGGATGCAATTTCTACGGTTGACTTTAGTTCACGCTGTTGGATTGCCGAGAGATATATCTAACAGTAGTTTGCTCGAG